TAGAAAGGGACTGGTGCAGCTTATTCTTATATTTTTTTACATATAATTTCAATCAACCTAAAAAACATCCGCTTATTAGTAAAAAGTCAGATTTATTTTATTGTTTTAATGTGTGTGTTCTCTAAAAAAACATTAACTTTACTTATTCTTGTTACCTCTAAGCCTACCTAGGACATGCAAGTATAGTGATTTTGACTGGAATCTATTGTTTTGTCTGCCTTGGTCATAGAGTAACTCCCAAGGGAAAAACAGCAACCATGAACACTCAACAGATGGAGCAGATGGGCCAGTTCAAGATCACAGTCTGGGAGGAGGAGAACTTCCAGGGCAAGCGCTGTGAGTTCATGCTGGAATGCCAGAACATCATGGAGAGGGGCTTCAACAAGATCCGCTCCATCAAGGTGGAGAATGGACCGTAAGTTTGCGTTGTTGTTGTTCTTTGCTTCCATCTATCCAGTTCTACATGTTCCATACATCATGGAAACCACTTCCCCTCTCACCTTTTCTGGATTTGTTGTCTGTTTCATGGTCAGTGTTTTGGCCATTGCAGTTTCCTTCAATAGGACATTCATTTGACCATTTGGTACATATTTAAGCTCTAAAATATATATGATGATGGGTGGATTTGAGTCAACGATTTGCTAGAATCTGGCTACAATTGTACCAAACAGCATTTATAGAATTAGAGTAATATTGAGTTACATTTTCTATTTCAGTAAGCTATTCTGTAATTTTCCTCAAATATTTTATTAAATACACATAGCTGCTCTTAAAAGAGTGTTTTTTTCTCCCATTAAAATATCTAATAGGATCACATTGTTGACTTTCTAATTTATCTGCTTCAAAAAGCCTGCACACAAGCCTCAAACACTGACTCTCAACAAGTATAAAAGGCACAATAATACAAAAACATAAATTACAGCCCATGATGTTATTGCATTGCTACTTGGCATGTATCGTCTGCATGTGTGTGCGCATGCATCCAAGTGTATCCCTATTGTGATATGAGTTGGCTGTGTGCAGCTGCCGGCCGTGAGCCAGAATGGCTGACTGACTGACTGGCGATCAGATAAAGAGCCCTGGGTGCAGCAGCAGTATTTAATGTTTGCTTTGTGCTCCCAGTGACAAAAGAAGCTGCATGTTGTATTCACCGCAGGCCGATCTATGGGCGTCGGACTCTTTTGTTTCATGAAAATGACAGTTTCAGTGATGTCGCACTAAAAATAATTTGCATTTAGGGGTTCAGAACTGTTTTATTACTAAATTCTATCAATTATTGTTTATATACTGGTAATTTAAGTATTGTCTGCTCATTTAACCTCATTTTTTCCCTCTTCTCCTCGCTTTGGCTTTCTCTTTTTGGCTTTCTCTCTGTCTAGTTGGGTGGGTTATGAGTACCCTGAGTTCCAGGGGCAGCAGTTCATCCTGGAGAAGGGAGACTACCCTCGCTACGAGGCCTGGAGCGGAAACAGCAGCTACAGAACCGAGCACATGCTTTCCTTCAGACCCATCAAGAGCGCTGTAAGTTATTTGTTTTTTATATTTGCATTAATAAGCATCTATCAACTGCTATAACTGGCTTACATCCCTGCTCTGTCTTCCTCTCTGCAGAACCACAGTGACAGCAAGGTGACCATGTACGAGTGTGAGGACTTCCAGGGCCGTAAGTTTGAGATGTGCGATGACTACCCCTCCCTACAGGCCATGGGCTGGTGCAGCAAGGAGGTTCCCTCCATCAAAGTCAACTCCGGAGCGTAAGTTGCATATCTTTTTTCTATTTATTATATGTCTCTGGTTTCTGATTTTCCATTCTGCAGCATCCAATCACCACCCATAACTATTAACAGTGAAAATAATTAGAATCCACTAAATGTCTAGGGAAATGTTTGTTTAAAGTATATTTATCCTTTGATCTTGACTCAACCCTCCCCCTTTCTCTCTGTGCAGCTGGGTTGCCTACCAGTTCCCTGGATACCGTGGCTACCAGTACATCCTGGAGAGAGACAGACACCAAGGCGAGTACAGAAACTACAACGAGTACAGCACCCAGGCTCACACCAACCAGGTGCAGTCCATCCGTAGGATCCAGCACTAAGCCTTCACTCGCCTGCCTGACCCAACAAAATAAAAACTCTCCCGAGCCCCATTCCTCGACTTGAACCCCGGACAGACTGCTGTCACAGAACAGTAGATGGATAAACTCTTTCTATCGCTCTGTGGCTCTGCATGTGTGGATATCTAAGTACCTTTTTCTTCTACTATGCTAAAGCATGTCCTTGAAATAGGAAATAAAGGCTTTTCTTCAAAACTATACACTGTTTATCGACATTCCTTTTTCTTTTACCAATGATCACCATAATTTAATAGATCAACATCTGATTGGCTAAATTGAGCTGTCAATCATTTTGTGCAGGTGCACAAGCAAAGTCAGAGCGCCTTAATGTCTTTTAGCTTCATAGAGCAGGCTGATTTGTATTTATTTATAGGACATATTTAGCATTTAGATAACATACATGAAAATATTTGAGTCAACCCACCCTGTTTAGGTTTTAGATATGTGAAATTGTTCTTGTGAGACTGTTAGCTATTAGCACATTTTGAGCCATCGTTATTTAAACGTTTTTTCGGTACTATTTAAGCAGTTTAAAAGAGGCTATTTGAGGTCCTCTGAGAGACAATTAATAATTGATGTTTTTCGTCATTGATGAAAAGTAAATGTAAATGAACCCAAGTAATGTTCAAAAAAACATTTGAAACCTGAAATTATTAATTTATGGCTGTGAAAAGCCCCTCCACTTTTGTGACAATGCATTTCTGAGATTTGTTTTGTGTCAAAAGGGATTTTTGATCTTTCCCCCAAAACTAATAAGTAGTGATATGATTATGTAATTGAGCGTGTTCTGAACGGTAGCTTTTTGTTTTGTTATCCATAAACTGAACCAGTGGAAGTATATTGAGTGGAAGAACTGTTAAAGGGAAAAGGCCCCAGGGTGGAGCCTTGAGGGACTCCACAGGTCATAATTCTTGTGATACATGCCCTCAAATGCAAGATGTAAGATATCAAAACAGGTATTTAGTGCCAACAAGTTATTCAGTAAGGATTCACTTAATTTTGCGAGGCCTATAGTTGTTTATAGACTGATCTCAGATATAAACAAACTAAACACCTCACAGATGAACAACTGTACGTGTAACCATAGCGATTGAGACAATAAACTCACAAGGACAAATATTACTAATAAAAGGTAATAAATTAAGTAAAAAGTAGGGTAATTGACTCATAGACTTCTATACAACCGGACTTCTTTTTTCAACCAGTGGATTTGTCCCCTGCTGGCCATTTGAAATAATGCAGGTTTAAAGCACTTCTGCATTAAGACATGGAGGTTGACTGCTGTTTTTTAACTGACATAATCCCCTTCAGGGATCCTCCGGAAATGTTTGGAAAGGGAGGGGTTAGTGGAGGGGTATTCAGTTAGTTGATTTTGGAGTCTCATACTGGACCTTTACATTTCAAAACATTTTAACTTTTCCTTAGCACATTGATTAGTTACATTTAAGTAAATACCATTATCCCTATTCCTTATGGATTCCCCTTATTATATATTTACAAATAACCAAGCTGGTAATAGATATTCAGTCGGTCAGATAATAATGTTCAAGCTGCAACTACTGAAACCCAATATTAGAAAAAGTCCTGCAGTTTTTACCACAGAATACACCAGAAGTGATCACAAAGATAGATATCATTTCTGACATGAACTTTGATTAACTTAATATATTTGGATGATTCATTAATTTCCCCTCCACGCATTTCACACAACTACTCTCTTAAAAGTATTGTAGCTCAGCATTTGCTTGTTCATTGCAATGTGGCACCATCATGTTTATCTTACAGTCACACGCCGGGATCCTGGAGTGTATTTACCTCCACGCACACTCCTCCTGTTGGTCCAGGACGTGGGATTACGTGTTACACGCCCACAAGCCTGCACTGGCTAACTGTCCCACACCCAAAAAACAGGATCTTTTAATAAATGTGTAACCATGCAAACACACCTTTCTCAAATATACATACCTCTGCAGACAGATTAAAGCAGCTTGCACTGTGGTTTAAGAGGAGTGACACTTGAGCAGTGTAGTAAGATGCAACACAGTTCACAGAAGCAAGGTAAGTTCAAGGCTTTACAGAGGAATTTTTTTTATTTATGCTATGCTTTAATGATATTGATTGATTTGTTTAACTGAAATGAATACATATGTTGTTTCTTTTGGACAATGTGTTCATCAGATTAAATTATGTTATTCAGTTTTTGTTCCTTATTTGCCACAAAATGACTACAGGGGCTGCTGTATGGTTCACATTTTGGGCAACTATTCTAATTGATTAAATATCTAACCCTTTTATAATGATTTATGTTGGTTAATGGGAATTATGCATCATTAACATGCTTATGCATCCGTTTTACTTGCAGGCTACTGTAGTATAGCTACTATCAGATGATGACTTTACTCTTAAGGTTTGACATACTATTTACCCCAGATGTAGCAACAATTGAATCTGTTAAAATAATCAAGAAATGAATAAACAGAACATGCGAAGGCTTTTCTGATGTTATTATGCAATTGTTTTTTCTTTCCATTAGGGGATTTCTAGCCTCATGCTGATCACTGACCCACCTATCTAGACCCACTGCATCAGTGGATACAGTCCAGCTTTCGAGGCTTGTTTTAAGTTGCCTGCGACTCTTACTTGGACACAGGCAGCTAAAGCAAGTCTGGGATGCAGAGACACACCTACAGAGCCCAGCCCTGAGGAACTGCTGCCATGTGAAGAATGACATCTACCTCAAAGTCCAGGAAGGAAGGCAATGGAAATATCCTATTTGCTAATGAATTCAGCATTTATCAATTGAACACAATTTACTCCTCTTTGTCTGAGAGGAAAATATTTGAGCTAATTTGTTACTGCTATATTTAGTCAATTATAGTTTGATGCAATCTTACTGTTACAACGATTGGTAATGTAAACACGGACTTAAACTTGCGTGCTATAAAATGCAGATAAATAAAACATTGAAATATATAGCCTACAGTATACCCTTTTTCCTATGCTGAGTTTGTTTGCATTTGTACTTTTGTGAACTCAGTTGGGTGACTTTGTAGAGCAAACACTAAAATAGATTATGAATGATTAGCAGACGGTTTACTTTTAGTTCAGTCAACAGAGGCCAAACATGTTTTTGATTTAAAGGATAGAGTAAAGATGTTCTGTTGGATACATGTAATGTGACTTTAATTTCAATGTAATATTTGTAGTTTGAAATAAAGAAATGTATTGTTTATAGTGTTTTTCATTTAAAATGTTTTAATTGGACATATTTTACCTTTTTAAACCACTGTTTCCAACAAAAAGCTTTGACAATCCTTTCCATGAATGCATGAGTTTGATTTTAGATTCATGCAGTATGGGTTTCTCTTAATTTCATGACACACAGTGTATTACATTTATGACAAGGCAAACTAAATGCAAAACCACAGAAGATCCCAGAGATGCACATGTGTCAACGTCAGCTTGTTTTAAATATTTTCATTTCTTGATGTTTCTAAATTATTCTGTGGCATTTTTTCCCCTGAATATCTGAATAGAAAGAGATATAATACACAAAGAACTATTACAGAATCAAATCAAGGATGTTCCAATATGATCAATCTTTGAATATATCTTCCACTTGTTTCATTGATGAACGGACATTAATCATGCCAGGGTTTTTGCCACCCTCATAAATTACATCAATTTCCTCTTTACATGTATGTATTGCTTTGAAATGCCTAACAAGTGCTTTGGAGCTTAACAGACATACAACATAGTCTGGATTTATCACTATTAACTATTGTGTGTTGAACTTGTATGTGACATTTATGCATATAAATTATTCAAATTGCATGTATTCACTGTGTTTCAATAGCTTCATGATATATTACCTTAATGTCAATGTTTGGTTGATTTATTGAGATGTATCTATCTTTATATTGGGGTTTAAACACAGTTTTGATTATTTAACTAATAATTTCAAAGGGTCTAGACAAGACATTGGCCACTGTCAGGGGCGGACTGGGGGGGAAAAGTGACCCGGGGATTAATTGATGCAATAACATTTGACCCAATTTGCCTGACTTGACACATGGAATAAAACATGGGCGTCGGAAGCATCCTCAATGTGGGTGAGACAATTTAACAGGGGGTGTGGGCAGGCGGTGGACCTCACCTCCTCTAGGGGGGTCCGGGGGCAAGCTCCCCCAGGAAGATTTTTTTAAATGTTGAAGTTAAATGCATCAATCTGGTCCATTTTGAGAGCAAAATTATGGACTAAATCTATGGCAGTCGGTAGGGGCTTGGACTGTGAGCCGTACGGTCACCGGTTCAAGTCCCCGACCAGACCTATTTGGAGTGTGGACTTCTACTTGGAGAGGTCCCAGTTCACCTCCTGCCCTGCCGTGGTGCCCTTGAGCAAGGCACCGGGCATCCCCCTTCCCCCCTCACTCCCATTGCTCCGTGGGCGCTGTACAATAGTTGCCCACTGCTCCTAGTACTAGACTCCTGGTACTAGGATGGGTTAAAAGCAGAGAACACATTTCACTGTGTGTGTGTGCTCTGCATGTGTGACCATTAAAGAGGGTTTCATCCCTCCCAATTATTCTTCTTCTTCTTCAACACCCATATAAAACAGAACTGTAAACAGATTAACTTTTTCTTTCAACATTTATTTGAACAGCAAGTGGAGGCAAAAGTGACTGCACCCAAAACAATAAACCTGCTAGCTAACTAGCCTAAACTCAGTAACAGAATGTGGGCAACACGTTCTTCTCCACAGCCGAGCGACCTCTGAGTCAGACATCACTTCCCCCTTTTCTATCCTACGGGTACAGCCACTCCCCCTGAACCCTGTTGTAACAACATAATAAACTTTTTGGGGATGCAGCTTGGGATGTGAGGACATGGCTTAGAAAGGGCGTGTCGCCTTCTGTCCTGCCAGTGTTGGCACAGTGCCATTCACGCACCTTCTGTCCTGCCCGTGTTGGCACAGTGCCTTTCACGCACCGCCTTTCACACACCGCCTTTCACGCACCGCCTTCACTGTGTTTACCTTCAGAATAATTAGAAAGGCTAAAGAGCGGTGTGGCTGATGTGTTTTAACCACACACACACACACACACACACACACACACACACACACACACACACACACACACACACACACACACACACACACACACACACACACACACACACACACACCACACACACACACACACACACACACATACACACACACGATTTAAACGCAGACTTTTGTTCCTCCATGTTACGTTGTTATTGTTTCACTGAGCGGACCCGCACATTTTTTTCAAACGCTCCCCTTTTTGGTCCATCTGCACGGTTTTGTGCGCATTACATTACATTACATTACATTACATTGCATTTAGCTGACGCTTTTGTCCAAAGCGACTTACAATAAGTACATTCGACCAGGAAGACACAACCTTGAAGAAAACAGAATCATATAAGTATATCAGGTTTCATAGAGCCAAACATTTCAAGTGCTACTCAACTGGCTTTAGGTAATCCAGTCCTTTATTGGTATAAAAGTGCTTCGTTAATCGTTCTAACGCTCGAAGTGGAGTCGAAAGAGATGAGTTTTCAGTTTGCGCCGGAAGATGTGCAAGCTATCTGCCGTCCTGATGTCAATGATGCTCATTCCACCATCTTGGAGCCAGGATAGCAAACCCACGTGTTTTCGCCGATGGGAACTTGGGTCCCCCTCGCAGCGAGGGCGCAACGAGTCGTTTGGCTGATGCAGAGCGTAGTTTTGTGCGCTGTGATGATTCGGCTGTACCTTTAGTAATGCATATTAAATGTTGTGAGGAAATCTTTCCACCAATAATTCCAATAAGTGATCCAAAATGTATTCACTTCAGGTTTACGAAAGTAACTGTAATCAGATTACTAGTTTTTCAAATGTAACGCGAGCTGAATACAGTTACTTGATTTTTGTATTCTGATTACGTAACGCCGTTACATGTATTCCGTTACAACCCAACCCTGGCCACACCCCACTGGGCTGGGCTGGGCCGGAACCCTTACAAATGTGGGCCGGTAGGATTTAGGTAAGCAAAAAAAAAAAAAAAGTGGCTGTTTTTTGTTTGTTTTGTTTTGGCCCTCCGGCCCACACACAGCACCGGCCCACCGGGGAAACTCCCGGTATTCCCAATGGCCAGTCCGCCCCTGGCCACTGTTCATTATTTTTCTACAGTTCAACGGAGAATAGGGCAGGGCATCAAAGCCCATAAAGCTTCACACAGTCCACTGCCTCTGAAAAACACAACAATTGGAAACATATGAGCGTAAATGATAACGTCAGTGAGTACCAGAATCCATGCTTTTAAAGTTACAACCTCATTACCCTCCGATTGAGGCTGTATAACATTAAACCCACAAACAGAAGGTCAGGGGGGGATGAATGTTCTTGTTTTCTCGTGTGCACCAGAGCGTGCTTTTCAAGGTAAATATTATTTCCCCAACATGAAATAGGTCTTTGTTGTTTGCCAAGAGGTAAGAGGCGGAAAAGTGAGGAGGATCTGAACTGGTTTCCATGTCAAACACTCCAATTCACCATAGAAACTCAGATCTTAACGCGGAAACTTTATTAAACTGTGATGGTGGATTGATAAGGGCACAATTTCTATCGGCCTCTTTTTATTGTGGGCACCAGGCGGGCTGACAGAGGTAAATTGCTCTTTTAATTAAAGCAATGCACCAGGGGAAATTGCTGTCTGAATATTGTCTCAGAGATGGGGGCCACTGACAGTTGCCTGGAAACTTCAATCTGTCCACCCGCATTTATTCCAGATCTCAGTTATGAGATAAAGTTTAATAAAAATCTTTTCGACCGCCACCAACGAAATGAAATCCAACCCATTCTGAACAACAGAACACAATGAGACCGGACTGCGGAGGAAACCTCATGTTCAACATGTATCTCTCAGGTTCGTCTTTTAAGTCCAAGGAAGAATTATAGAAATAAGCGGTTATGATTCTTTAAATTCTGCCGGGTGTCGGTGTCCAGAGGCGATGTGTTCCGTCTCCAGGGCAGAGCATTGTTCAGCCTTTTCAATCTGAAAGCCCGTCTGCTCTTTTGTCGGAAATCGGAAATCCTTTTTCCTGGACGCGTTTCCTGGCTTCTCGGAGAGGAGACCTCGAAAAAGACAAGCTTCTTCCATTAGGCATGCGAGCGGACCAGGACACAATTAGGATTTTAATCAATGTTACCTTCTGGAGATATTTGGCCTTTTTCAACATTTCAAATCAGTTTGAATTTTACGCACCGCTCTGATCACATTATTTACAGGTTCTTTACGCAATCTTACAACGGATATTCTTTTAATTAAAATAGATGTAAATACACAAATGTATTATTATTTTTTCAATCACCTTATTTTTCTCGTCCTAAATTGTTGCTTGGATAAAGATATCCAATTCAATTTTAGAAAAACCTGGACCTACCAACTAAGTTTCAAACCAACCAAAGCAAGATTAGAATATGAGAGTATCCTTAATGATTTCTTGAAATTGATTATTTATAGACTATATGAAATAGATAAATAGATGATAGAGAGTTTGTGATGCTTACAATTAGTCTGTCTTTTTTTATTACAGATCCAACAGAAAATCTGTTGAAGGAAAGCAAAGGAGCATCCTGGGGTCCAATAAACACAGGAGTACAGAAAGGTAAGAAAATGGACTGAACGGCCTGCCGGGACACACTGGTGCAGTGATTTAATATCAAAAAGCTTTTAGAAATTCCCAAAATACTTAAAGAATATTAATATAAAAAAAATTAAATACTTAAAGCTGTTGGGTAGTTATGCAGATTCAAAGGCCACCATGTATTTTCTAGCTTTAGTTTTAAACTGACTTTGAAAAAAAGATATACAATGATAAGAGAAAAAAAACACATTTTATTTTATTATTTTACTTATCAGCATGAAAACGGTGTTGAAGGCCAGTGTATTTTGTCATTCCATTATAGATATAATTGGTAAGTTATCGATCCAAATACAGCTTGTCTTCTTCCTGCTTTCAAATTGCAGTTTGTTGGTCACGGATAATGTAGAATTTTTTATTTAATGAAGAAATTCCTGTTACTCCATAACAGGATTTGTAGATTTCTCATAGTTTATAAACGTACACTTCCATATTCAGACTAAAATATGAATTATATATTTAAATAAAGAAGAAGAAACTTGAAATTAAATTAAAAAACAACACGGTACACAGATTGTCATTGATTTAATTACACTGTCATGTAGTGCTAATAGACCTAAACGGGCATTATGACCTCTCAAATCTGCAAATGTTGAAATAAAGCAGTTAGTTATATTTTGAAATCGAAAATAAAAATACGTTTGACTATCATTTATCCTACATTATATTTGAAATGAGGAATTATTCAATTAAATAATACCATGTTCAAAATGACCTAGAAGATACCATTTAAATAGCTTATGACCTAGCCGGAAAACAATGTGCCTGCAGAGGTTGTTTTGAAGCATTTCAGATTTGAATGAATGAACAATATCAGTTTGAGACCGTTTTAATCCAATTGGATACATATTTTAACATTAACATTAATGCACATATGTTTTCTAATATTCTGCAATTTGCCTTCAAAATCAGTGGATTATCTACGAAGACCTGCAGCCGAATTGTTAGATAGGCTATGACTGACAATCTATTATTTGATGAAAGGTCAAATGTTAAATGCCTCAACAATATGCATTATTTCATGTATTTACACAAAAGATGTCTGTATTTTTAATTTTTAATTTATGATTTATAAATTGCATTCATTTCTAATCTTTAACATCATGGTTATATTTTCCCCTCTCCTGTCCAGGCAGCGGGCAGATCCAGTTGTGGCAGTTCCTGTTGGAGCTCCTCTCGGACAGCACCAACATGGCGTACATCGCCTGGGAGGGCACCAACGGAGAGTTCAAGCTCATCGACCCGGACGAGGTGGCCCGGCGCTGGGGGGAGCGCAAGAGCAAACCCAACATGAACTACGACAAGCTGAGCCGGGCGCTGCGCTACTACTACGACAAGAACATCATGACCAAAGTGCACGGAAAGCGCTACGCCTACAAGTTCGATTTCCACGGCTTGGCGCAGGTGTGCCAGCCATCCACCACGGAGCAGGCCATCTACAAGTTTCAGGGGAATTTCTCCCCGATTCCCTTCGCCGGGATCTCCAAACTGAACCTCGTGGGCCCCGGCGTGGGCCCCTCAGGTTTTTCCTACTGGGCCGGATCCCCCCCTTCGGCTCTGTACCACAGCCACAACCTCCAGCCTCCTGGGCCCTTTGGCACCGTGTCTCCGTCCCACATCAGCTGCGTCAACAACATCAACAGCCTGACCAACATCAATAACCATTACAACTGACTACTAATGAATCTTTTAGACAACCTGGAGAAGTATAAACACGGCCGGTAATACAACAAGGAACGAAGAGAGGTGACAAAGGTTTGGGTAATTTGCAAATATTGGATTGATTTGGGTTGTCTCAGCAACATGCTACATTTAGACGCGTGCATATATAATTGTAGCCATGCATGTACATGCTGCCGAGACAATGGTTTTGCGTAAGAAAGACGTTTAAAAACATGTAAATAAAAAAAACACATTAGTTCTACTGTAAAATCAGGACTTGTTTCCAGTAGCAAATGATTACATAGGCTATATGAAGGACCGCCAATGAAATTACGCAGAGTGGTTTTGAACTTTTACGCGTTGTCTAAACGATAATAATTAGATCTTAAGCCATAAACTCCCCTTTTATGATTGTCTAATTTCGCTCACTCATTGTTGGAAAGCGTTTTTCCAAATTAACAATGTATAGAGCATTACTAAAAAAAAAAGCTTGATTTAATATTTATGTTTTATACCTATCAGTTCTTCTTGCCTGTTCCTTTGCTGTCTCTCATCCTCTCTTCGTGGGTCATGTGGTTGTTTTTACACACAGGTGAGTGCTTTTACACACATTTGGGAGCAAATCACTTCTTATTACTAGGCTCTTGGCGCCATCTTGTGGTTATGGAACGGCCTAATGCCTGTCATGTAATTTTACTAAATATCACTCCTGTAAAAATATTGTAACTTGAATTTCTTTTTACTAAGAAATCAGATTACACATAGCCATGTAGGAAAATTAAATGTATCCCACTTGCAATACAAAATAAATACAATGTAGAGGTATAGGGTTGCATTTTGTGAGAAGTAGTCTCAGACGTGAATAGTAACAGAAACTGTGAATTCATGAACCTTTCAGTAAATACTGTTTGTAGAGACGGGCTCAGGCTATTCGCTGCTTTTTAGGGATTTTGAAGTGAACTGCATTTTATTCATTCACGTAGCTTCTAAAGCAAAAATAGCTATACCAATACAAATTAATGAAGTTTATAGTCTGTTGTAAATAAATCTATTCGTCAGTATGTTTGAATTGTGTGTTGCTGCCTTTTTTTTGTTTGACTGCAAACACCACTGTGCCACTCTACATTTTGTTATTAACATGCCACATTACCTTCCATGCTTACCTTACATTATGCTGTCGGAAATATTTTTCTATGGTATTTTTAAATTCAGATTATTATGGAAAATAGTTATATGACAAGATTAGAAACCACATAAGTGTTGTACTCATTGTGAAGAGTATGCTGTGAAGGTTGAAGAAAGCTTGTTGGGAAGGAGGCTAAATAGCTTTTCAGAAGGAAAACAATAGCATTGCCATAGTCATATTTTGACTTCTCACCTGAAGGAAAAGTGGTTGTTTAGTATCCACAGGTCTTTCCGTTACTGACATGCCCACTTTATGCCAATTCCATACGGTCTGGGGCAAAAACCACGCATCGAGTATACATGTGTTATTTAGGGCTTATCTAAAGATGGTTTCTGCACAATGGGTTTCCTATACCATCTCTGAAATGCATAACTTCGGTGTAAATGGAAAGCCATCACTTGTGTGGATCAAATGGGCCCACTTGAATGTATGTAGGAGGATGTTAGCCAACACAGGCATTTCATTGTAGTAAGAGCCTTTTTCTAGGATAATCACAGAATAATTTGGGCCCGAGCGCAGACAGAGTCAGAGCGAAGGACATATTGAAATTGCTTGGACAATAATTTGAGCACCCGAGCACGGACGGAATCGGAGTAAAGGACCTTTTGAAATTGCTCGATGCTAATGGCCTGAGCATGCTTAAATCCTTGAGGTTTTTTGAACACTTATCAGGACTGGTGAAAAATGTGATATTTTGATATTATTCTGCAAGCAAATGTACCCCCTACAAATTAGCAGCCCCTCGTTGTGCTTTCACCTACAAATCTCCGCCCAGATTATTCAGATATTTCCAAAACTTGGTATGATAACTTTTAAGAGTAAAGTACTTGTTTCTGGCTTAATGATGCATGTAGACGCACACAACTTGACACACATGTTAACAGTGATGAAAGTAGTTAACTGATATAGTTCTGTGTGGCAAGGTGGCTCAATTTCACAGGTAGACTTTTTACAGGTCAAAGATGAGACATAGTCCCAGCACCACTTGCTGCTAACATGAAGTCTGACCTATATGACAAACATTATAAAATGTACATTACCATTATAATGTGTAGACTACACATGATAAACAGCATACATTTGTTTTTAAGTGTGGGTTCTCCAGTGCCACATAATAGACACCAGAGTCTGTGCAATATTTCCAAAACGTCATTTTCAGGGCATCACACTATAGAAATGGCAATTAAATCTGAGTTCCACCCTCATCTAAAATGTAATTTTTTTAATAAAAGGATGGACCCTTATTTAAAAAAATTGTTCCAGACATTGGGGGGAACATTATTTAGAAGTTTAACTTTTTACATAAGGGGGGACCCCTATCTAAAAGTTAACTTTTTAGATAAGGGAGGACCCTTATTTTAAAAGTTTGTTCCGGACATAAGGAGGGTCCTTTATCTAATAAGTCTGTTCTGGACATAAGGGGGACCCTTATCCAAAAAGTTTACTTTTTATATAAGGGGGGACACTTATCTAAAAAATGTGTTTCTTATATAGCGGGGGACCCTTATCGAAAAATTCAACTTTTATTTAATGGGGGACTTTTATCCAAAAGTTTACTTCCGGACATAAGGGCTGACCGTTTTTTAAATTAAACTTTTTATATAGTCCTTCATCTAAAAAGTAGTTCCGGACACAAGGGGGGAACCTTATCTAAAGATTCGACTTTTAATATAAGGAGGACCCTTATCTAAAAAAGGCCCTTACATAAAAAAGAGGTGGATGGTAAAAGGTCCGCTGTTGATGTGTACCTACCTAACAGAGTTTAGTGACTCGTCTTTTTTGTCCTAACAATTTTTTTCAAGCCAAGCATTAATTTTACATTCAATGCTTTGTGCATTTACAAATGTAATATCTCTTCGTTGGCTCATTTAGTTGAGGTGACTGGAGCAAACCCCACTCAGCTATACTTTGTTGAAGTTGAGAGTTGTATTTTCACAACAACAAAAACTGGACATGCTATATAACATTGAGATTTCATTAACAGGCATTACTTGTCATCAGTTAGGCCAAACTCTGCTCTTAATATCATTGTTTTCTGCTGTATCTGCTGATTACATGGTATAGAGTGGAGTCAACATGTGACAACAGGCATCGTCCCACATGGGGGCGCCAATACTCTGCCAACATCAGAACATGTTTTACATCACCAGGTGATAACACAGTTGGTCTAATACGGATTAAAGAAGCACCGGGAAATAACAACAACAGAAGAAGAAGGTCTCAAATGGACACATACGTTTTATCCCCATTTAAACAATGTGGAGCGTACATTTACATAAGAAACATTTACGCTACTGAGAGGGCCGACAAAAATAATATATAAAAGGCACCAGCATGCACCAGAGATTACACAACACAAAGAAAGTGTGTAGCATATAGGGAACCCTAGAGAGCAGAGATTACATTGTCTCCATATTAGGAGCCCCATTAGCACACTGCATCAAGTTTTCTCCACTGGATGGGGCACCTGGGCATTCCAATATGTTTTCTGAAAGGTCACCCTTAGGGCAATGCTTTACATTTTCTCCACTTAAAATGAACACCTAGTGAGCTATGCACTGGAAGGGCACTCATAAGGGCACTTTAATGCATTTTCTCCACTGTAAGGGCACCCAGCAGTGGACCATGCATCATGTTTTCTCCATTGAAAGGTCACTCAAGAGGGCACTGAATCCCATTTTCTCCAATGGAAAGGGACACCTGGTACTTAGTCATGTTTTTAAACATTAAATAATATGCCTTTTTAGTAAAATGAGTCACATTATAACTAAACTTACGTTCTTATAAAACGTACATGTTGGCTAACATACATTTTGTGAGGTATTATGTGAGGACTTCTTGTGATATTCCTTTCGAATGTGCACAAGTTGTTTTTTATTTTTTATTGATAAAAAGGAACAGCAAGTGTCTGTGTGTGTGTGTGTGTGTGTGTATGTGTTTGGGTTTGTGTGCGAGTGGGAGGTCCCTCATCCCCATGCAAAGGCGTCTGTGTACGTGTTCTGCATATTAAAGAGAAATAATCTGAATTGCTATTGACAACTGAACCTCTCTGGTACTGTGCATGTGTCAGTGTGTGTGAGAGAGACAGAGAGGGAGGGATAGTGGTCCGGGTAGGTGTGTATCCTGGATCTGTTGTTCATTTCACTCAGACTTTGATAATATTGTGCTTCTGGGATCAACATTGAGGAAACTCCACCGAGATTGAGTCACTTCAAAAACATTGTAATTTCACTGGACTGTCTTCTCTGCAAACTGCCCTGCCACTAATCTGCTGCAGCTATTGATGCTGCTAAGCACTCCTCCTTTCCCTTCTTGCGTAACAAACTATATGTGGGTGTTTTTGCTGCAAGCCACAGGATTAACAGTGTTAATGCAGAGAGTGGAGCAGCAAGAAAACACAAGGAGAAGGAGGGGGAGGAGGAGGGGGGAGGGGGGAGGGGAGGAGGAGGGGGGAGGGGAGGAGGAGGAGAATAGTACTGATGTTATTAGGCAGCAGCACTTATACATACAACTTTAGTGTAAGTAATTCCCATTTGGACATCATCCTTGTTTGGATGTATTGATGACGAGACAGAGTCTATCTGCACTCGTATGTGTCTCCTGCACAGGGATAACAACACTTTAATTACCACACTTCCTTTTTTTCTATCGTTTAACCCATTTTAACAAAGCAAATTGCATTCTATGTTTTAAATCACCAAAAATACTTTAAAAAAACCTAATCTCATTGATAATTTTTGAATTCCCCCTCGTTTTTCCAATTGGTATTAGTATAGTATACATTGCATCTTCTGTGTCACTCAGGGCCTAATAACTACTAACAACACAGAACACTGCATTTTGTTTTCCACTATAATTGTTCTCCATCTCTTATAGCATCTGCTGGAAATAGTCAATCCAGATATCTTCCACTGATACGCTTTGGTAACTGGGCATTGTTCCCAATAGCTACCTACATCCATGTTGTTCCCATGGAGATCACTTCTGTTCTGATTTTACAATGGTTGACGCATTTTCTTTGTTTCGTTAATCTAGCCTTAATATACCCAGAAAATAGTACTTAGTGCAAACCAGAATTGCAAGCAACACTCAAGGAACTAAGCTAAAAGCCATTGGGGTCATTATTTTGTAGCATTACATTGTGCTATTTATTTTATAATGATACGTTAAGGCATAAAGAAAACAAGTCTATTGCGACTTTAAAGACTTTCAATACTGCTTGAGGTGATCTGTCACTTTTCACATATAGTAATCATTTGTTTTCTTTAGGGTCAATCTTACGAAACAGTTGGGAATGCATTTCAAAAGTGTATCTCTTTGAAGGGTGCGTTCAAGTGATGAGGAAACTCCGGCATCTATGAGCTGACATAGGTTGCTGCACAGTGTTGCGTTCACAGGCTATGAGCTTTGCAGTTAGGAAAGACACAATGAAGACAAAGGGGACATGACAAAAGGGGTTAAAAAATGCTGCAACGCAATTTAAACAATAATATGTTGAATCTAATGAAATATAATGCTGTTACATACATACATACATACATACATACATTGTGTATATAAAACATAAGGGTGAGTCACACATTCAAGAGGGGGGGGGGGGTGATGTGGGGTCCCACAGTGCAAAGTGTTGCAGTCAGTGAGTCATTCATCATGTGGAGAGAGTGGTAATGAAGGCACAGTCAAATTAGAGCAGCACACCTACGTGCTGCTGAAATAGACCTGTGAATAAGAGGGAGAGAGAGCGAGAGAGAGCGAGTGGAGGGGAAGGTGAGAGAATCCAAGAGGTAGGCAACACACAGACCATACATTTAGTCCTTTGTCTTTTG